TAACAAATTTTGTCTTTTAAGATAATATATTTTTTAATTATAAATTAATGTACAAAAAAAATATTATAATCACTTAATGTTATTAAAGGTAAAAAAATAAAATTGAAATTCATTAGATAATTATTAATTAAAAAATGTGACCACAAATTAAAAAATTAAAATAAATAAATTTGTAAATAAAATTAAAAAATTTAGTCCATTAACGATTTGATACAAAAAAATTATATAAATTAACTTTTTCAATCCATTAGCGATTTGGACTCTAATCGCTATCCGTTAGTTTCAAACCGCTAAATAAAAATTTTACCAAACATTTTATTTATAGCGATTTCGAAATATATAAATTTACCAAATACCTATATTTAGCGGTTTAGGTAAAATCGCTAACCACTACCCCAAAACCACTATATCAAATAGGACTTTAAAATTGTTAAAAATAAAAACTATATAAAATCTTAAAATTAAGATATTAAAACTTACATTTAACTTTTTTTATATATATTTAATTCTCATGACTTTTTGATATTAGTACGACGGTGGAATTTTCTTACTTCACAAATTCTCTTTCCATTTAAGTATGATATGTTACGTGAATTTTAAGTAAGCTAATGAGGGTCTGTTTGGTGAATTTTCTAGTAACTTTAGTTTTTCGACATTATTTATATTTTATAAGTTTAAATTTTTTTTTTTAAATTTATATTCTTAAATTTTTTTTAATAAATTAACTTATGGAATAATGACAAAATTACATTTTTTAAAATTGACGAACTAAAATAGTACTTAAATTAATTAAAAATGAAAACTATATAAAATCTTAAAATTAAGAGACTAAAATTTATATTTAATTTTTTATATATTTAATTCACATATCTTTTTGATATTAATATGATGTGAGTTTTTCCTATTTAACAAATTCTCTTTCCATATAAGTATGATATGTTACATGAATTTTAAATAAATTAATGAGTTTAAGAGACATTCCACTCATATAATCCTGAACTATCATAATATTTCATATTACTTAGTGCCTGTTTAGTATAGCGGTTAAAATTCAGCAGATAATCGATAGTAAGTAGCGAGTAGCGGTAGCGGTAGCGATAGCGGGTAGCAGGTGGCGGTTAGCAGATAACGGATGACAAATAACGAAAAGTGGGTAACGGATGGTAAATAACGGATTCGATAAATATAACTGTTTGGTTATACAATGGTTAGTGGTTGTTATTTAACATTAAATGACTAATAAG